CCTGCTGAGCCAAGCGAGGATGAGTCACTCATCAAAAAGAAAAAACATGACGTTGCTGCTGGGGATGGTGAAGAAGTCATAGAAATTTCATGATTGAAGCCTCATCCCTTTTTCTCGGATTCTCAGAGATTTCTCATTTGAAGCATTATCAAAGACTGATCATGTGTCATTGTTTATTTTTCACCCATGTTTCTTTCTATTATATAATTATTGTAAGCCTCTCTCTTGATACAGGCGATTGTCTAAGTTTTAAAGAGTAATAATGATGCTTTTGTTTTTATGATTCAACTTTTTTTGCTATATTCTGGTTTTGTAAGTTAATATTAAAAGTGAGCAAAATAAAAAAAGTGTCTCAAAAGAGAAAACAATTTTGTCAATAAAATTTTATTTATTTCTCATTAAAAGAGAAAAATTCAGAATATTTCATAAATGTTAATTACATTTCTGTTTGTTGGAAGATAAAATTGGAAATTGATCTTATTCAAAGTTCACACATAGTTGTACACATTTTATAAGAAATAAGTCATATCTTTGGTCCATGACAGGTTAATTCTAAGTGGAGTGTTTCACTGCTGCCTGTAAATTTGCCATCTACTGTATTTAGAACATGGTCATTTGATATCCAAGTCTTCTCTTTATTTATTTTTTACATTTCAATAATTTAACACATATGGATAACAGTTAAGTAAAATAAACAGAATAAAAACTATGTTTTAGAATGGTGCTTAAGTTTCAGGTGATCAGGTCATTGGGATTTCACTGTAGATGGCAGCACTGGGACCAAATAAAGTCATGATTATTTAAATATTTTGTGTTTTTATCTTTAAAAAACTGTGGAGTTACAGTGAAATTATTTCATTCTGATCTACCATGCCAAATTATCGCTGTATCACTGTTCTTTCTCTTTTGTGGCATGTAATTACTTTTTAAAATGTATTAAAAACATTTCATGCAACATATTTTTTTTTGTCTCTTTGTCAAAATGAACGTTTTTGAAAAAAATATTAAGCTTGATCTCAAAAATGAAGAAAGTACTTATGCTTTTGGTACATTTTTATAAATAATAGTGATTTTCTTTGATACCGTAAGTTATATTTTTTATTGTGGAGATATTCACAACCATGGTTCTTATTTAAGATTTTTCAAAGATGTTCTAAGTTCTTTTCTTTTAAATTATTTTAAAGGCTGTTCCAGGACTACTTTTTTGACTATTAGCATTTCAAATTCTTTATAAAAAGATAAGCATATCTGTTCTAATTAGTTTTTCTATGTGGACAGGTGCTCAAAAGTTTATGATCAATTTTATATTAGTTTTCATAAAACTTATTAAATCATCAGGCAGAGCAGTGCCACGGTAGATGACTGTTGGAAAGAAACTATTTTCCCCAATATGGAACATTAAATTAGTGGCAAATGTAAGCTTAATAAATTTTCTGCCCTTAAAATGTAAATATATTTTGCTGAGCATTTGTTTATCTTGGCATTTATAGGCAACATTTGGAATAAGTTTTTTGTTTTGTTTTTTGGTTTAAAATAGTCATTGTCATTGTTTTTTTCTCCTATTTTATTGAATGTGAAATTGATTAAAAATAAATCATGTTTATTTTTGTTGCTACCGTTTTTTAATTCATGAAAAGACAAATTTAAATTTTGAATATCCATTTTTATTACTCATTGATAATCACAATACTAATTTAAATTGGTTTCATAGAGAGCAGAAATAAGATCAGTGCATTAAAGACACATTCATTTAAGGTTGATAAACTTAATTACATTTGCTCTTGACTAAGAGATTGAAAAAAAGTAATAAATCACAAATTTATAGAGGTATCGCGAAGAAAATATACATTTTTAATCATGGTGTATGTACTTTAAAAAAATTTGGCAAGTTTGTAATGTAATGAAAGGAAACAAGTAAATTTGCTTTACTTACTTAAGTGAGCACAACATCTAATGATTAACTATTATGTATACATAAATTTTAGTAAAGTGTTGGGTATTGTAAAATACCTTTTGCTTTATTATAAATCTGAACAGAATGTGATATAGGTGTGACTTGAAAATATTAGATTAAGCTTGTAAAATATATTAGAAATGCATAACAAAAAAAATAAAAACAATATAATTAACTTTTGAACCAACAACTCATTTGAATAAACATGATTTCATTATAACAAAAGCTGATGAAATATAAACATAATTTACAACAATTTAAGAACAAAAATCAAAGTGAAATGAATCAGCAATAACAAAATAACAAATGCTTAAGTCATGTATAAGTACTAGTTGATTAAAAAAATAAAATATCCTCACATATTTTACTTAGAATCACATCAACCACCACTGGTCTCAAATACATGGCTTACAGTCAATACAAAGCTATTTTGGGACACTTAATATTTTTAATGTCTCAAGAGCAATTGGGTTTCAGATGTGATAGACAATTGTTCCTTTTTTATACTATCAGATGTTAAATATTGAAATTATTTTTGAAAACCAGGAGTTTATTTTCTAATTTAAAATATAAAAATAAATGAAAGAAACTGTATAAAAGGAGAAGATTCTTTCAACTGGTTAAAATTTCAATAATTGGTAAAAAATATTTGGATCATAGGTGGTTTACTATTAGGAAAAAAAAAATGTTACAGAAAAATAAATATGACATCCATTGTAATTCGTTGAGGTTAATTTAAAACAAACTTAAGATTTGGTTACAATTTTCATACAGATTAACAAAATTAAATGGTAGTAACTTTAGAGAAAAAAATTACTTAATTTACAAAATGGACAATCTTATTTGTTTTAAAAACTTTTACATACTATGTTGATCAAAAGCTAAAATGGGGGCCAGATTAATTCAAATTTTTTGTAATACATTTTTTGGTCACTGACTTAAGAAGGTGGAAAATACTACACAATTTTATATAAATTCATTAGTAAATTTTATTTTAAATTATATAAATCCTATCTAAAAATTATCACATTTGCTATCAAATAGTACAATTGCTACAGTGCTATCATTTCAATTAACTTAATATATTACTATAAATATAACTTAATATATTACTATAAATAAAAAAAAGTTAAAATTTTACAAAAAGTGAAGAGCCTTAAAAAAAAAAATTAATAGTAAAAGGAGCTCTTATAACGCATATCCCAACTGAAATGAAAGATCTTATGAGCATCTTAAGTTAAATGTATAATAATATTTGCCAAAATCATATTGATTTTACAACTGCAATAAAAAATAGAATTTTAATAAACTTTACATATGCCTTAACAAAATATTATTATCTTATACATATTTCTTGTTATGGTTAAAAGGTCTTAATGTAGTTTTTTAAAATATTGATAAATGCAAGAAGGTTTATAGGAACACTTGGTGAATTTAAAATGTTACTTAAAACCATTTTGTAGTATTGAAATCACAGAACTAGCACTTTGGCAATCATTTTTGGGACACACAAATATTCTGTTCTTTAATTACTTAAAAACTAATCTTAACAAAGAGACAGAGAGAACTGATTTATATACTTAACCAGTGGGAAATATTTGTACAAATTGCATATTTTGTTAAAAATATCTAAACAAGTCAAGATTAGCATTTTTATGCTGATAAAAAAAAAAGGAAATATATTTAAAAGACAAAATTAATTAATACCAAGTAGCCAATAGACAACATGTTTTGGAAATGAAAAGCTTTCCCCTTGAAACATGTTTTCTAACATGGGTGGAACTGCATTTAAAATATTGTTGGATAGAAAAATAAGACATTTAGAAATACCACTAAGTTTATTCACAAACGTGTGGAACTGAATTTGATTGTTAGATTCAAGAAGATGATTTTTAGAAATAACACCATGTTCATCTTTAAAACAGTCATGACAAATTCAATTTTTTTTTTTAATATTAAAAATAATTTGAAAATCAAAACAATCTAATAACATCTTTCAACTAATAAGTTGTATAAGAAAGTCTTATAAAATATATATTAGGTGGTTTTACAAAGTGTGTTTCAAAAATACTATAAAAAGAAAGAAAGGAATTTTTGTTTAAATATGTATAATTTTGAACTTTTGTATTGATTGTGTGATATTTTCTTAAGATCATTGACTGTCTAGCCAAATCCTTAGGGAGCTTTTACTGGATCTTCACTGGTCAAAAGATGATGAACTGTGGTATTAAACTAAAGTTACTCTTACTATAGAATCTAGACCAAGAGATGTCAGTTATATTTTGTACTACATCCCTTATGGCACACCAGTGAACTGGGGGCTTATAGATTGGGAGGTATTCATCTCCAAAACAAGGAATGATATGGCAGTTGTGTTTTTTTTTGTTGAAAAATATGATACAACTTACCAAGTTTATGAAAAAGAAATTTTAAACAGAGAAAATATTTGCTATAGAAAGACTAGCGCATGAATAGCATGACCCAATTATTAGAAACATAGTTAAAATGTGTCAGAATGCATTAAAAAAAAAAGGAAACAGATGAACAAAGTAAAAGTATTACACGTAGTTTGAAAAGTTTTCTTAAGGCTCAACTGACAGAAAATAAAAGCATTCTTTCAAGATCTTCATATCACTATGATGCTGCATTAAGATAATTGAACAATAGATTGAAAAAAAATTGCGTTAATTCAATTTCCACTAATAATAGCCAATGTGACAAAGAAAATAATAATAAAATGATCACACTGGTGTTAAGTGAAATTAATTAAAAATGTTATATCTTATAGTATTTAAGACTAAAATTTAGAGCTGCATTGTTTCTTGTATACTTTTTGAGCAAGCATTGTCATTATCGTCAGTTGACATTAAAATTTTGAGCAGGGTGGGGGGGGGGGTTTTTACTGGTTTCAAAAGCAGTGTTTTTGCTTAAAATGTATTTTTTTTT